GTGTGTGTGCATGCACGTATGCGCTAACCAAAGTCAGGATTACACAAGTGAAGCGTGTTTGGCTGCTCTGTGGCACGGAGATCAATTCATGTCGTTACAGCAAATGGCATGACAACCAGTCTCCTCCCCATCACCATCTGCCTCCTGTGTGCCAATTTGTCACAGCACATCCAAGTGTGGCCATGCCTTCATTTAACACTGAACAAGAGCGCAAGTCAGGAATGAAGATGGGAAAAAGGGTAAGGAGGAGGAAATTAGGGCACTGACAAAGACTCAAGCCCTCGAGACATGCAGCGAGAGAGGTCAACTGAAGTTTATCAGAGGGCAAAGACAAAGAAATATACACAGGGGGGCATCCTGGTGACTCCAGTACAAACCACATTGCAACACTCTGGGCTAAAACGTGGGCCAGCACGTATGTCACATCTTCTAACCATATGAGTTTTTAGGAAAAGGCAAAAACAAACTAAAAAAATGAAAATAAAAAAAAAAAATCCACAATTTAATTTTAAAATAAAAAGGAGGAAACAGAGACAGCTGCATTCTCAGTGTGTTACTGATTTAGAGACAGCTTTCCTTATTTGTAGCTGAAAAGACAGGTGCTAAAACTAGGGTCATGCAGAGAAGAGATGGGGTGGAAAAGAATGTTAATCTGTTATCTGAATAAACTGGGAAAAAAAATAGACAATAATTCTAAAATGTTAACCCCTCTGTGATTTTCATTCATATCATGCAGGTTCGAAAATTTAGCTCAGTGCCCTGCTTGTAAAGTTGTACAAATTAAGACAGAGGGCAGGATTTGCCTGCAGCTTTCGGCTGCTATGGTTTGGCGTGCAAAGACCCTTTTTGTTTTTCTTGCAAAACCATGTGGGCCACGAACAAATGTTCATACATCTAAACTATGCATCAAACTATGCTTCACAGTGCCAGCACTGTGGAGTGAGTAGGTGACAAGATATGAAAGCAATGCCAGTCACTCTCTTTCTGCCCCCATCTCTCTCCCTCTCTCTCTCGCTCACATTTTTGGCACCATAATACCACTATTCAACAGAGTGGTCTGATCATGTTTCACGCCTTTGCACCCGCACTGACTGCTGTTCTGTCCCATTTCACCCTTTTTGATACGTCTTTGTGTCATCAATAATGACAGGCAGAAAATGGGTGTCCACATCGGGGCCCCTTATGCCACCGTGATGCCAGTGATCCGGTTCAACACCAACAACCTAATTCCTACAAACTCAACCTTCTAACCAAGCTATCATGTATTGTTTCCCTGCTGTCAGCACAGCGCAACGCAAGAGCGGTGGGCTCCTATTCATTCTGACTGACGCGCAACACTCCACAATGGTCCTGTGCTGCACATATGCAGAGCCAGCCAAAAGAGGGATCACACAACAGTGG